TATATTATAATATTAGTAAATCTCTAATTATTATAATTATTTTAAATCTTTTTATTATTATTCTTTAATTCTATTATATTATCTCTAATATATTATATATTAAGTAGGCAAAATATATTATAATTAATAAATTAAAATAATCTCTTTATCTAGTTCTTAGTCTTAAGATAATAAATAAAAATCTTAATAATATAGGCTTATTAGGTACAGGCTACTATACCTACTATTCTACTAAATATTACCTAAATTTCCCTAAGACTAATCTATATAAGTAGGATAATAAAAAAGTATTTTTTATATAAATAGATATATTAAGTATACTATTATTCTAAATTTAAGTATATATAAAAATAGGCTTTTATAGAATTATTATCTTTATACTACTAAGACTTAGTATAATATAAGTAATATAGCATCCATGTAATAGTAGCTAGGCTAGTAAAGGTAACTAGAATGATTAGAGTAGCTAGGGCTATAGTAATAGCAGGAATAACAAGAGCTAGTATAATAATAGAAGCTGGCGCAATAATAGGAGCTAGTATAATAATAATAGCAGGAATAACTAGAGTTATTATAATAGAAGAAGTAGAGAAAGAGATAGCAGGAGTTACTATAATACTAGGAATAGCTATAGAGGATAAGGAAGATATAGTCTTACTAGATAATAAAGTAGTAATAGCAAGAATTATAAAAGATATACTAGTAATAATAGGGGTTATAAATACTATAATTAATATAAGTATAGAGAAGTTTACTATAAAAACTTATAAATAATTAGTATAATAAATCTATATTACTAGAATAAAAATACCTATAAAGAAAGAAATAATAGTAATTAAATAAGCTCTCTTTTATAAAAATATAATTAGTATAGTATTTAATAAAAGATACTTAGAAGAAGCTATAAGATTTATAATATAATTAGCTATTACTATAATATCTAAATAATAATAACTTACCTAATATAATATATTAATCTATTAAGAGGGACTTTTTAAAATATAGATTAAATTAAGAAATATATATATAAAAGAGTATTCCTCTATAATATTTATATTATAATAATATTTTTACTTAATATTAGTATATTTAGTAAATTATTTACTCCTATCTATTATTCTATTTAAAATAAAATATAATACTATTTATATTTTATTTAATAAAATATAATTAATAAAAATAATATTATATATATTATTATTATCTCTAGTATTAAATAAAAAAGTAAATTATATTATATTAACTAGAACTAGCTCCTTCTTAATAAAGTGTCAAGCTAGATTAGGTATAGTATATATAGTATGTAGACATGCTATTAAGAGAAGAGGAAGTAATTATTATAGTAATTATATAATATATAACTATATACTAAACTATATACTAAACTATATATCTAGTAATTAAAAATAATTAAAAAAATAATAATATTTAAATTACTTATACTATACTAGTAACTTAACTAGATAATATAAATAGTAATATAATAATCCCTAAAGTATTAAGAGGTAAGTACTTTATTTTATTACTTCTAATACCTTTCTACTATCCTCATACTCTGTATAGCTTTGCTTCCTTTACCAACACTACCTATACCCAAGCACCTCGCCAGTGAGACGCTTACAACTATGATCAGACCTGATGGTCTGATCTACCCGAATCCTACCTTATATACCTAGCAATCATTGCCTTGGCACCAGTGCACCTAGTGCACGCCGTGACAACTATCTCCTTCCTTGAGATAAGGCTTGACCGCAAGCTAACTAGCATATATTCAGTAGGGACCCCCAGCCCTAAGCCAGCTAGGCTAAGCTAAGGGCTGTGAGCAGGTAGGCATGGTTCAAATCTAGTAGCACAACCAGGTCTAGCAGGGAACCTCTAGCACCTATTCAGGTCTAGCAGGATTTTTAACCAAGCCCTAGCACCTTAGGTCTAGCAGGATCCAACCCAGCCCTAGTACCTATTCAGCCTAGTGGGACTCAACCCAGTCCTAGCACCTATTTAGGTCTAGCAGGACTACCTAACCCTAGGACTTAATTATCATTATCGCACATATAATAACAACAGCCAGATTTAAACTATAGCTATCTACCTATCAGGTCTAATCATACTTATAAGAGCATGCAATTCAAGCAACATGTCTAAACTATTAGACTAAAAGGTTACTATAATCAGACCTAATAGTCTAATCTACCCGAATCCCACCTTATATACCTAGCAATCATTGCCTTGGCACCAGTGCACCTAGTGCACGCCATGACAGCTAGTCTAAATTTCTATTAAGATTTAATTTCTAAATATACTACTATTCTAGAAAGTTAGATATTAAGTCTAATATACTAATTAAAAAGTTAGAGAACTTACTTAAAAAGAGGGATAAATAATTTCTTTACTAAAGCTAGATTATTTTAAAATCTAAAAATCTACTATCTAAGACTACTACTAATCTAAGATTAAATATTAATAACTAATATTAAATATACTTTATTAAATAATTTACTATTAATAAACTAATCTCCCTACTACTAATATTATAACTACTATTTAATAAAGCTTATTTTTAAGATAATAAGCTCTAGTCTATTCTAAATATTTTAAAAGATAATTTATTAAGATATCCTAATATTATACTAGCTAATTATAAATATACTAATCTATACTTAAAATATTAAGATTAATTTTATATATTTAACTATAATAAAATAAAAGTTAAAATATTAAGACTTTATTATAAAAGTTTTATTATTAAATATTCTAGAAAAATTAAAATATATAAATTAATATTATATAAATACTTCTAGTTTAGAATTTATAAATATATTAATTAATAAATCTAAAATTATTATTTTTATTACTAAATTATTCCTTTCTAAAAAATAAAGTAAGAAATATTAAGATTTCTACTAATTTCTAAATATATCTAGTAAGATATAAGTATAGACTTTATTATATATTTATTATTAAATAATAATTATAATATTATTTTAATTATAATTAATTATTTAATAAAAATAAAGTACTTTCTTTCTTATATTAGAATAATTAATATTAAAGGAATAATTAATCTATATCTTAAATATATTTAAAAACTTTATAATATTCCTAAAATAATTATATTAGATTATAGAGTCTAGTTTATTATTATTTTTTAAAAATATTTAATATCTTATCTAAAGATTTATAACCTATTATTTATTACTTATTACTCTAAAATTAATAATTAAATTAAATATACTAATATTATTTTAAGATAATATTTATAAATATATATATTATATTTATAAGATAATTAGTTTAAATAATTATTAATAATTAAATTTATTATTAACTTTATTTATTCTAAGTCTATAGGAGTATTATTATTTATAATTAATTATAGATTTTACTTAATATTAGAATTTAAATTAAGTTACTTTATTATCTACCTTATTAAAAAAAATATTAAGAAATTTATTAATATTATATATAAGATTTATAAATTTATTTATATTAAAATTTTATTTATTTAAATTTATTATAAAATATAAATTAATTATTAAAAATAATCTATATATTACTATATTATAAGATAAGAAGTCTAGTTAGATACTTATAATATTTAAATATTTTACTTATAAAAAAAATTAGATTAAAAGAATTTTAAATTATATTATATTAAAAAAATTATTAATTTATATATTTATAAATTTAAATTATTTAAAAATATAAAAATTTATTTTATATTTAATATATTTTTACTTTATTTTATTATTAATAATCCTTTATTTAATTAATATTCTAATCTATTATTATTTATTAAAGTTAAAAAATTAAAAAAATAAGAAATTAAGAAAGTTCTTAATTCTTAATAAATTTATTAAAATTATAATAAACTTAAGTTATAATATATTATTAAATAAATTAAATATAATAAATTAATTAAAAAGCTTATTAAATATCTAGAAAATACTTAATAAATAATTATTATTTTTATTATCTTAAAAAGCCTTAATTACTTTCTTCTTAATTTTAATAAAGCTTGACCCTAAAAAAGAAGATATTATTATAGTATAAAGCTATAGTATCTATTTAATTAAATTTTATCTTAATTATTTATTCTTATTCTTATATTTAAGCTATATTATTCCTAATCTTATTATAGCTCTTTAAGCTATATCCTATTTATTATCTAATATCTACTATTCTACTATTCTGTCTAGTTAGCTCCTAATTAATAAATATCTGAATCTAACTCTACACCCTGACAAAAATTTATTTTATTATTACTATTTTTTTTTATAAGTATTTTTATTCTAATAATATAGGTTTATTATACTAATTACTTATAAACTTTTATATTAAATTCCCTTATATTTATATTAGTTATAGTACCTATAATTTCTACTATTACTAGTACAAAAAGCATTTGTGCCGGGGAGGCCGGATTCGGCCGCCCCCCGGATCGGGTTTGGCGCCCGCCCCCACGGCACCCTGTTACGGTTTAGCGCGCTTAGATGCGGTTTAGCTTTAATACTTGCTTTAATACTTGCTTTAATACTTGCTTTAATACCTACTTGAATGCCTACTTGAATGCCTACTTGAATGCCTACTTGAATGCCTACTTGAATGCCTACTTGAATGCCTACTTGAATGCCTACTTGAATGCCTACTTGAATGCCTACTTGAATGCCTACTTGAATGCCTACTTGAATGCCTACTTGAATGCCTACTTGAATGCCTACTTGAATGCCTACTTGAATGCCTACTTGAATGCCTACTTGAATGCCTACTTGAATGCCTGCTAATACCTGCTTCAATATCTACTTTAATACCTATTTTAATTCTAACTTCCATACTTACATTAATATAGTAGCTATCATACTAATATGCAAGCCGCCGAGTGTAGCGAGGATTTAAGGCTAGTTAACTCACATGAAAGCAAGACAAGTTGGTGTACCAAGAGGAATATAAATATTTGCATCTTTTCTTTCATTGAAGTTGGAAGCCAGCCAAGTATCATACTATTTCTCTTTGATCTCTTTGAGGATTTAACAGAAGTTGGCTTATTGAAAACCAGAGTCATCCGAACATAAGCCTTTTCTTGCGCTTTCAAAATGGCTACACAAACGATTCGATTTTTAACAGTCTCCCAAGTTCAACGACTTCATGCAAGATTTGTCGTTCCCAATGCCGTTCCAGCCCAGCCAAGCCTGCTAGAGTCTGCAGTCCATTCGCCGATGAACATGAAACACTACGCAAAAGAGGACGATGTTTTTCAGCTTGCTGCGAACCTTGCTGAGAAAATAATGAAAAACCATGCCTTTCAGGATGGGAACAAACGCACCGCCTTACTGGCCGCCGATATGTTCCTGAAGATCAACGGCTATTACCTTCAAAAAGTACCATTCGCGGACGATTCACACAATAAGGGGCTAGCAAAAGCTCATGTCGCCGTTGTTACCAACCAGTGGACTGCTGAACAGTTAGGGAACTATTTATAAGTCTGTGGCAGCACCTCTTGATCTGGCGACTGCAGAAGTCATGGAATATATAAGCTCAGCTACCGAGTACTAGGCTCATACTCTCTGTCAGCATCCTTGAGGCTTTGGATGGCTTCCGGGTGGTGTTTTGATTGCAGCATCCTGCCTTGGTTTTCGTGGGCTTCAAGTGGGGTTCATAGTCGCAAAGGATTTTGAATTTGCACATCAATTGTACATCTTACGGTATCTTTGGTTGTATTTACTCTGAAGGGAAGGGAAGGAGGCCCACATGATGGAAGCCTTTGTTGATTTCGTATTAAAGGATCCCGCTATTGCTACAGAGAAAACAACCCCGAAATCACATATCCTTCAGTTGGTGGAGTATGCTGGCCAGGCTCCGCCCAGTAACGCTTGCGTTCTCGACAAAATTTGCTAGATAGATATCATGGATCAGTATCCGTAAGACGGGAAAGACTGGACCAGTTTGTACCATCATCTGTTCTATCTAAAACTATCTCATACATTTTTCCACTCAGATACAAGGTCGCAGGGCTTGTATTTGACTTCGTTTGGCGAGGAATCTGGTTTGGGACATAGAGGCGGGGATAGCTTGATGATTCTAACAATAATAAAAAAAATACTGTTAGCGTCAGCCGTATTGAACAATCGTATACTGACAACTTACTGAATCCAAAGTGTTGCGAATCATGGAAAAATGTAAGTTTACATCTATCTTCAGCACTTGCCGCGGAAGCAGCTGTACAGGGGCTGGCAGCACGGAGTGCACTACCGACCCCTTGATCAATCAAAACATAAGTCTCTCCCGGATTGCCAATAATAACAGGCACTTTCCTAGTAATCAGGTGTCCTTTCACGCCATGGGTGATGAAATCTGTGGTGACTCGATGAAAATATCGCGCGGTTCGTGCGCCTCCGGTGATATGAAAGGAAGTCAAGGGCCGAGAAGCGCTTCGAAACATATGGGATCGAACTAATTGAAGACTCAAGTCAATGAAGGGCCAGAATTTCGCATTCGAGACGTACGATGACTGCGATAGGGGTCGACAACAGACGCGACCTGGACCGTGCTCTAAATTACCCATTCTGAATGAACGTTATCTCGGAATGGATAAATATATCCGCGTCTTCTGGAAAATTCCTAGTAAGTAAGGCCAACTCAGAAGCATTTCCGGTGAAACTGTTTTTCCGTTCTGGCGACCGAACCCCTTGTTGGGCCTTCCAATCCACATCTCCATAAATCTCAGCTTACGCGCCAAATCTCAGTCGTAATATGTTTAAAGATGAACGCTAATGGAAGAAGAGAGAAGATGCTCATGGCTTCCAAGGAACCAGAAACTTTTCTGTACCCTGCTGGGACCTCAAGGCTTGGCAATCTAGCCAAATAATTTATTTAGGAGGGGCAACCCCCGTCCAGGAAGGGCTAGCAGGGTGGGACGAGTTCAATCTCATTTCTATAAAAGAAGGAAAGGTGGTGTGGAGGTGCCCAAGATACTCTTAAAAGCAAGCTCCCCGCAGAACTGAAACTGAAAGTACTTGTCTTTCTCCATCCTGGACCATTACTTATTCATTTAAAATGAGCTCAGACCCTTGTGCAGCGTGTAGCTGGTCCACTGAACGCCAAAATCATTGCAACTACCAAAGCTACCTCAAATTGTTCTATGAAGCAGGCGACCGAGGCGTCTGGTCGTTAGGGTCAAAATTGATATTGAAAGATCGAGGTGGTAGCCTTCCGACCCTCGAGGTACCAAATATTCAATTTGTGCAGGAACAGACATCTATTCCTGTTCCCGCCGTTGTCGAATCATGGGAGGAAGGCAAACATACCCTCATATTGATGCGACGTATCCCCGGCGAACCCCTCAGCGAAGCTTGGCCGAAGCTTTCCACGGATGAAAAAGAGAGGATAGCGAGGCAGACCGCTGAGTATCTACAACAACTTCGGACGCTTCAGTCTGATAAAATTCAATCTCTTGGTGACCGTCCGGTTTTTTCCAACTTCCTATTCAAAGATGAGGATTCCGAAACTCCCCACGGTCCTCTAGCATCTGATAATGATCTCTGGGATGATATGGAACGTGGATTGAAAGATACGATCCCCGAGGCTGCGCGAATACGGCTTCGACGTTGCATGCCTTCGGCTACTCCTTACACCTTTACGCATGGAGACCTCGCTAATGTGAATATCATTGTTGAGAATGGCTCCCTTACCGGCATAATTGATTGGGAGATGTCCGGATACTTCCCAGTGTGGTGGGAATATGTGTGTACCTCAGTTCCTGACAGCGAGGAGGACAGGGAGTGGAAGGCGTTGTTAAGAAAATACATGCCCGATCATAGCGCCGCCCGTGAATTCTGGCTGGACTATTATTACCTTTGCAGGGATCCTGACAGTGAAAGAGCTACGAAGTTCATGGAGAAAGCAAGAAGTGAGGCCCGAGGTGTGTAGCGTCGCTTTTGCAAATGGGTGGGATTTTGTATTGGTATATCAAGCACTTCGTTACAATATTATCATGTCAAACACGCAGTTTTATTGGGCAGGAACGTGACAAGAGCCTATCCTTCGAGAAAAGAGTGCGTTCTGCAGCGAATACTGAGACAGGAGAGGAGAGAAAAGAGGAAGGAAGTGCTGGGGGTATTGTGCTTGCCCTCATACTCTTTGGTCTCGCCAATCACATCACTCAAAACTACCTAGTCATCTACAAAAGGTTTCCCAGTATCACAAGACAATTCAATTTCTCTTATCGAGGACTGCTCGGCAATAGTGGATTCGAATAGATTCTTTGATGAGACAGTTAGGCTTGAAGACATATTTTCAAAACCGGAACCGCAAACAAATGAGTGACAAAGAGCCAGTCGAGAACTCCCAATTATCACATTGAACGTAGAGAGACACGGTGACTTGAGTAGAGAGAAAGACGCCCAACGTTTCTCCAAGTACTTGAACATGGTACAGCAATTACTCTTGCGCGTGACTGGGGGTGAAGAGTAGGTCCTCATACTTCATAAGTTTAAGGTATTGAGTAAAAGGGAGGAAGCATACCAAGAGCTCTATCCTACAAGGGTTGAGGAAGGGTACTATCATGGCTCTGGGGTTTGGCAGAGAACCAGCGCTGATTGGTTAGCTTATCTTTGGGTAGCTTAATTTTCTAGAGTAAGGTACCTATAGAACTTATTATATATTATAACTTAAATTTTTACTAGATATAGATTACTTACTTAAATTATAGATTCTTAAGTTTTAAAATCTATAAATATTAAGTAAATATATAATATTATATTAAAGTTTATTAAGATTTTATTAAAGATTTAATAAAAAATAAACTAGAATAATTATATATAAAAATAATAGATTAATTATACTAGTAAATAAAATAATTAGGGGCTAGTTTAATTAAAAAGTTTAATTAAATTTAAATTTTTTTAAATATTTTTATTAATTTTTTTATTTAATATTATATTTTTATTTATATTTAATTATTTTTTATTTATATTTTATTATAAAATACTAGCTATTTAAAAAAATCTTTATACTATAAATTATTATATATTATTAGTACTAATATAATATTTATTCTAAAAAAATTATAATATATTTATAAAAGAAATATTTTCTTAAATTATAAAATAATTAATTTATTATTTAAATAATAACTAGCTAAATAAAGATTATCTAGTAATTAGATAATTTATATATTTCTTATATATTAAATATATTAGTTCCTATTATTTTTATTTATACTAATAGGCTATTATACTAGTATAATTATAATAAGAAATTAAAGTAATATATATATATTATTACTAGTATTAAATTTATATAAAATTATTAGAAAAAAATATATAATTAAATCTAATACTAGTTTTATAAAAAAATTTTTATCTAAAAATAAAAAAAATAATAAATCTAGCTTTAATAATTATTTTATTTAATTATTTAGTAATAAATATTCTCTAGTTAAAAAAATTCTTATTTAATATATATTCTATTATATAATCCCTAATTTAAAAAGTAATTTATTCTAATTATTATTTATAAGTAACTAGTTATAGAGATTAAGATATAAATAATTATAAATAAATAAAAAATAATTACTTAGATTATTTAAGCTAGGAAATTCTAGAATATTAATCTATAATTATATATAATTTACTAGGTCTAGTATTTAGTTAATATATATATTCTAGATCTACTTATAGTAATAATTATTCTTAATTTTAAGCTAGAGAACTCTATAAGTAATATTATATATATAATATAGGATATTATAAAATTACTAGTCTAGTATAGCTAGTATATAATAAAATAATATAAAAATAAGATTTAAATAATTACTATATATATTATACTATATTAAATCTTATATTAGTTATTATAAATATATATAAATAAGAAAAGTATTTAAGATTATATTTAATTATAATAATAGATTTTATTATTTATTATTTATATATAAATAGACTAGTTATAAAAATAATAATTATAATATATTATAACTACCTAATAATAGAAAATATAATAGTAGTTATAATAAATAGCTATATAAAAATTCTAGTATAATCTTAATTTTATAAAAGTTAAGGATTAATCTTTTATAATCTAGTTATTTATTATAATTATAATTAAGATTATATACTTAAAGTTTTATATTAAGTTATTAAATTAGAAAATTAAGATTTATAAGTATAAGAGCCTGTTAATCTATATTATAGCTATATTAGATTAAAGGAAGGTAATCTAGTAAGGCCTTAAGAATTACTTACTTATTATTTTCTAAATATTAAAAGTAATATACTTTATACTTATATAAAAAATATTATAACTAGATCTATAATATATAAAGATTATCTATATATAGACTATAGCTATAGAGTAAAAATTATAAATAAGGAATATTATAAATAAAGAATTAAAATTTATTATTAATAAAAAATATATAAAAGAATCTAATATCTTTATTATATTCTCTTTATCTAGCCTGCTATCTAGCCTGCTTAGCCTATTTATAGCCTCTATCTACTAGATTCCTTAAATCTAGAGAATACTATTCTAAGCTAGAATAAATTAGATAATCTAGTAATTTATAATCTATAACTAATATAAGTTTATAAAAATATTACTAGATTAGTAAATCTTTAAATTAAAGATTTATTATAATATTATTATTCCTAGATATATAATCTAAATAAAATAGAAATAATTATTATATAAGGAAATAAGTTTTATTATAAGTAAGTTTTAGAGATTTATATATAACTTAATTAGAGCTATATAAGAGTTTATAATAGGATTATTATATTAATCTAATCTAGATTAATAGCCTACTATTTTATAAGATTAGTTATTTAATAATCTTACTAAAGCTACTCCTAGCTAGAGTTTTTTATAGGATACACGGACCTAGTAGCCTATAGCTAGATATAGCTAGCTAGTGGACTAAATTATATAGGAACCTATTATAGCCTGTATATTTATTATTTAGGGGGAGGTTAGTAATCTTAAGATATAGAAATATTTCTAGTAAGTAGCCTAATTTAAGGACAAGCTAGTAATAATTATATATTTAACTAGTAAAGTATTTATATAAGCCCTAAAGTTATTAAATATTTAATATATAAATATTAAGATTAACTAGTACTAAAATATATATATTAAGAATAATATAGTAATATTTATTATTATATATTATAAAAAGTTCTATACTAGTAATAATATAAAGATTATTTATTAATATTTACTCTAAATAATTAATAAGTTAGTTATATAATATTTATAATTAGTATTATTATTTATATAGTAATTAATAATATTTTATACTAATTAATATTTATATTACTACTCTAGTTACTACTATAATTTAAGATTATAAGAACCTAATATTAGTAATAACTAGAATTAGAGGAGTAAGTAATTTTATAAAGTATTAAAGTAGGAGAGCTAGACTAGTATAAGATTATTATA